TCTGCGCCTTTTGTTGAAATCGGTGAGAGCCCATTTAAAAAATGTCAATTTTTTGTAGATTACTCTTTTACTTTTGAAGAAGCCTTTCCAGAAGCAGTTTTTGGTCGTTTACAATTATCTATTTTTGTGTATATATCTGACTTTTAGTTTGTACTGATATTCATTTTGCTTATTTGGAGCTTTATATGTAATTGTATAGCTTTTCTGGGAAGGCTGTTGGAGTGAGAATTGGAGGCCAATCTGCTCCTGTTGAAGCTGCACCAGTTAAGGAAGCCAAGGTAGATATTTCCAACCGAGTTAGTCGTGGCTCTTAAATGTTCCAAATGCTGTGGAAATTATGTTTGAGTTTGCACAAGTTTTCATCAATATTCTTCCTGCATTTTGTTTGAGTTTGAGGTTTGCACAAGAATGGCATTGTATTGATATCAAAAACTCTTTGTATGATGTAGCAGACTGAATGCATCGCCGAAGGCTCCGCACACGGAGATTGGCATGCCTTCGTACGCGGAGGAACCAGATCCTCCGCGTGTGGAGGCACCAGACTGGTGCCTCCGCGTAGCCTCCACACGCGGAGGAACCATTCCTCCGCGTACGGAGGAACCAAAACCCCATTTAAAATCCACCCAAAAGATTCCTCAAATCAAAATCCCAATTGAAAAAATGAAGAACGTCGAAGCCTCAATCCCAACCATGCCTGAGATCATGGAGTCATCAAGAAGACAAAATCTCGATCTTCAGCTTTAAACATTTGGGCCCTTTTTCAAAATCACAGCTAAAAGCTTGGAAACCCAGAGGGAATTGGGTAGAGCTGAAGGAGTGATTAGGGTTTGGTATCCCTGCAAAATTCTGCATTTGGATTCAATTAGACTGCAAAGAGAGACGCTGGGAATGGAGAAATCAATATTTGGTATTAGATTGTTCATTGGAGCAGTGGCTATTAGACATGGATATGATTCTAATTGCAAAAAAACTGAGCTGCTAGCCATCAATGACACCGACCTTTACCATTTGAAGGTTTATTACTTCGCTTTGATTTATGTTTATTCAAATGTTGATGTTATAATCTCATTTTCTTACACTAAGAACCTGGATTACAGAATGGGAAGTTAAAATCCATAAGAATGATCCTTTATTCAAAATGTCACAATATGTTGAAAGATGAATACTTCATTGTGACGATATCGAGTAGGGTGTCTTGGAAAGTTGTTTAGGAAAGGTGGCTGTAAGTTTGAAGTCTTGAGCGTGATTTGAGTGAGTAGTTAATTAAAAAGAATGAAAGAAAGGGATTTTCAAAGTTCAAACTTACGAATTTGTGTGTGTAAATAAAAATAGAGCAATGTATTAACTTGATTGAGTTGAGGATTGAGGTGATGTCCCCATCAAAAATGGTGAAAATAATTTGATAGGCACTCAAAATGGCGAAAATAATTATTGGGCTTTTGAATTGATGAGGAATATTATTAAGCCCTAATTGATTTTGTTAAAAATTTAGATTTTTAGTAGATTTGATAACAATTGATAGAATATATAGATAAAAAGTTGTCGGTCTCATGAAATGTCCGATAAAAATTAATAGTTGACTTTGATTTAGAATTTTTTAGCTAAATTCCAAGCTAAAGTATAATATGAAATTTATTATGCTAGAAATACAATCTTCATTGAGATTTGTGCAGAATGTACTTGCTAATAGTTTTCCAAAATTTGCAGCTTGTAAGGTTTTACAAAAGAATTGGATTTAGGGTTGTGCATGAGGTGACTGGTTCATCACTTGGAGATCTGGGGCACATGTTAGTTTGGGGAGGTGTTGGCACACGAATGGATGCAAATGTTGAAGATCTTATGATCAAATGGTGTACTAGATTTAAGAATCAAAGAACATCATCTTCTTGAGGTTAAGATGAATTTTGATTTGGCCAAGGATTAGATTTTTTGTTGAAGGGCTAAGAAATTGTTTGATGTTAGTTATTTACTTGTGTTTTTTCTCCCATTTGCATGTTTCAGCTCACTCTTCGAGGTATGGTTGCGTACTTTGTAACTTGATACTAGAAAATTGTAAATGATTTCACATATTTCTTTTTGACCCCTTTTCAGTTGAATGATTCAACGATTTTTGGACTATATTTGTACTGGTGGTCAATTGCAAATTTTGTGAGTCGAAATCAGTATTGAATTGTCGTTTTGCTTGGCCAACTTTATGTTACAGTTACAAACCGTTCGGGATTGAAAATTTTTTGTTGCGATCGAGATAGAGTATCATCCAATTCAACAACAAATGTTGTTTTCAAAGAAGTTTTTCAAAATTTGAATTAGTTATATGGTGTATATATATATTTTTAAAATTACTCATTCACTCGCAAGTTAATTTTTTGAAGTATTTTGCATCTAATTGGATTGGAAAATCAATTAGCATATGTTTATCACTTAATATAAATTTGTGCATCGCACAGGGGAAATGCTAGTTTTATTAATAAAATAATATTAGACATAAACCTAAAATTTTTCCTTACTTTTTAACCATACATTCTTCCATCAATCACTATTTCAAATCAAATTTTTCTTAAAAAATAGATGTCAAATAAGGGCTAAAAAAGATGGAAAAGTTTTTCATATACATTTAAAATTATTTTACAAAATAATGTGTGGTTAAAAATGAGTTTGAAAAAAAATAAGATTTAAAAAAAATGGAGACGAAACATAGGCTTACGAAGAAATAAACCATCAGTACACAATCATTAAATTAAATTTTTTTCTCGAATTTATTTTCAATTACACATTCTCATAGTAAGCTCATGTAAGACTCTCTTTATTACAAAATAATTTATTTTTTATATTTATTTTCAACCAGACATTCACACAATAAAAGTGTGTTTGGTACACATTCTTTTGAAAGAATGTATTATTGAATAGTAAATTGATGGAGAATGTATGGTTAAAAATAAAGGAAAAGTTATTGATGTGATGAAAAATATTGTTTTATTGAAAAATGTGTGGTTGAAAATGAATAGAAGAATGAAAAAAATAATGTGTACCAAACATAGCCTAAATATTTTTCATGTAAATTCAAAAAAAAAATTCCATACTTTTTAACCACGTATTCTCTAAAAAATCATTATTCAAAACATCATTTTTACATAATAATAGCCATCAGGCTCAAATATTTTGCACATAAATTCATTTTTTTAAAACTTTTTAACTACATATTTTTCATCAAATCACTATTTCAAAACTCATTTTTTTCAAAATAATCATTTTAATGATTGTTAAACGAGGGCTAAAATTGCAATCTTTGCCGTGAGGGTGGAGGCTGAGTCCGTTGTGTATTTTTGTTGGGATGGCCAATTTTTTTAGCCCAAGGGTTGAAAAAATCCAAAATCAACAAAACCCTAGTTAAAGATTTGATTTATTTGGGATTGGTATATAGGGTTAGTTTACGAAGGAGATGCGGGCGGAAACACTTGAAAAAAAGAAAGATTACATATATTGGAATTTTTTTGGTAAAAAAATTAAGCCCCTATTTGATAACCATTATTTTTAAATTATTTTTTTTTACATACTTATTTTCTATCACACATTCACACGATAAAATATTTTGTACATAAATTTTAAAAAAATTTCTGCTTTTTAACCACACGTTCTCCTAAAAATCATTATTCAAAACATGATTTTTACTATATAATGGTTATCAAACAGACAATGGCCAAAAGAGTTACTCAAATTCTTATTTGGGAGGCTAGGAGCTGCTGTTCAAAGGATGTAGGTGGCCAGTTGGTGATGGAAATGAGATAAACATATGGACTGATTATTGGTTGCCAAACCATCGCTTAATAAGCTACCTAGATGGTACTAATTAAGATCTGAGAGGTTGGACAGTTTCACGCCCGATTGATGAGGATACACGGCGATGGGATATTACGAAGGTGTCTAGATTACTACATCTTAGAGATGCCTATGAGGTTTTCCAAATACAATTAATAGGAGGACTTACCAGACCGGATGTAATGATTTAGGAACTAGAGAAAAAGGGTCTTTACACTGTTACGAGTGGCTATAAATTGTTTTTGAAGATTAATGGTGCTAACCAGCTAGGTTAAGTGTCCTATGCCAATGATCAAAGGAAAATGTGGAATAAAATTTGGAAAATGCATATCCCCCATAAGATACGTGTGTTTGTATGGAGAGTGCCACAATGGGCTTCCAACACTTCGAAATCTACAAACTAAGAAAGTGGTGGAAGATGCAAGATGCAAGCTCTGTAATAAAGAGGACGAAGATATAAACCATGCGTTATTATACCGCTCTCAGATTGGACCTGTGCTATCAACCAAGCTGAACTTCTTACGAAATACTTCTGAGCAGCGGGATATCATGCATATTATAAATCTCATAATTAGTAGGAACGGTTCTGGCGAGCTAGATGAATTATTTTTATGCTTGTGGGGATTGTGGTACCGTCGAAACCAGTCTATCTTTGAGCAAAAACTGTTAACCCCACAGTTGGCTATTGATCATGCTTTTAGTATTGCTGGTGATTTTAAAAGTGCAAATAAGTAGCGTTAGCAAGGGAGTCATCACAAAACAGGGTGGAATGCACCTCCAGAAGGGGTCCTAAAGCTTAATGTTGATGGGGCCTTATTTGAAGATCAACATTGATATGGGATTGGGATGGTCCTCCAGGATGCAATAAGACAAGTAATTTTCTCAGCTAGCAAACCAGAGAAGGGCAGTATGGACCCAATGGAGGCGAAGTTTTTAGCAATATTGAGAGGTTTACATATTTGCCTATCTTTGTCCATCCCGAATTTACAAGTAGAGAGTAACTCTCTGTTGGTGATCCAAGAGTTGACAGAAGCACTGGCTGAATCTCTGTCCCTATGGGAAAACTTGATACATGAGATTCGGATACTAATGAATAGATTCCCGAATATTAATGTAAGACATGAAAGCCGCATATCTAATTCATGAGCACATTGTCTAGCTAAGAACTCATGGCACCTCAATGACTTGGTAATGTGGTGGAGTGATCTTTTGGAATTTGTTTCACACATTATTAAGCATGACGAACTGGTGTAATTTTCCAAAGTTGAATGAAATCTGTTTTTTTATCAAAAAAAAAGAAAAAAAAGAATTAAGATTCTATATTTACTTAAAAATTATAAAATNATCATTTTTACATAATAATGGCCATTAGGCTCAAATATTTTGCACATAAATTCATTTTTTAACTACATATTTTTCATCAAATCATTATTTCAAAACTAATTTTTTTTCAAAATAATCATTTTAATGATTGTTAAACGAGGGCTAAAATTGCAATCTTTGCGCCGTTGTGTATTTTTGTTGGGATGGCCAATATTTTTAGCCCAAGGGTTGAAAAAATCCAAAATCAACAAAACCCTAGTTAAAGATTTGATTTTTTTGGGATTGGTATATAGGGTTAGTTTACGAAGGAAATGCTGGCGGAAACACTTGAAAAATAGAAAGATTACATATATTGGAATTTTTTTGTTAAAAAAATTAAGCCCCTATTTGATAACCATTATTTTTAAATTATTTTTTTCTACATACTTATTTTCTATCACACATTCGCACGATAAAATATTTTGTACATATATTTTAAAAAATTTCCTACTTTTTAACCACACGTTCTCCTAAAAATCACTATTCAAAACATGATTTTTACTATATAATGGTTATCAAACAGACAATTGCTAAAAGAGTTACTCAAATTCTTATTTGGGAGGCTAGAAGCTGCTGTTCAAAGGATGTAGGTGGCGAGTTGGTGATGGAAATGAGATAAACATATGGACTGATTATTGGTTGCCAAACCATCGCTTAATAAGCTACCTAGATGGTATTAATTAAGATCTGAGAGGTTGGACAGTTTCACGCCCGATTGATGAGGATACACGACGATGGGATATTACGAAGGTGTCTAGATTACTACATCTTAGAGATGCCTATGAGGTTTTCCAAATACAATTAATAGGAGGACTTACCAGACCGGATGTAATGATTTAGGAACTAGAGAAAAAGGGTCTTTACACTGTTAGGAGTGGCTATAAATTGTTTTTGAAGATTAATGGTGCTAACCAGCTAGGTTAAGTGTCCTATGACAATGATCAAAGGAAAATGTGGAATAAAATTTGGAAAATGCAAATCCCCCATGAGATACATGTGTTTTGCATGGAGAGTGCCACAATGGGCTTCCAACACTTCGAAATCTACAAACTAAGAAAGTGGTGGAAGATGCAAGATGTAAGCTCTGTAATAAAGAGGACGAAGATATAAACCATGCGCTATTATACCGCTCTCAGATTAGACCTGTGCTATCAACCAAGCTGAACTTCTTACGAAATACTTCTGAGCAGCGGGATATCATGCATATTATAAATCTCATAATTAGTAGGAACGGTTCTGGCGAGCTAGATGAATTATTTTTATGCTTGTGGGGATTGTGGTACCGCCGAAACCAGTCTATCTTTGAGCAAAAACTGTTAACCCCACAGTTGGCTATTGATCATGCTTTTAGTGTTGCTGGTGATTTTAAAAGTGCAAATAAGTAGCGTTAGCAAGGGAGTCATCACAAAACAGGGTGGAATGCACCTCTAGAAGGGGTCCTAAAGCTTAATGTTGATGGGGCCTTATTTGAAGATCAACATTGATATGGGATTGGGATGGTCCTCCAGGATGCAATAAGACAAGTAATTTTCTCAGCTAGCAAACCAGAGAAGGGCAGTATGGACCCAATGGAGGCGAAGTTTTTAGCAATATTGAGAGGTTTACAGATTTGCCCATCTTTGTCCATCCCGAATTTACAAGTAGAGAGTAACTCTCTGTTGGTGATCCAAGAGTTGACAGAAGCACTGGCTGAATCTCTGTCCCTATGGGAA